GTATTGCTCAATGTCGGGTAACGTACGAAATCAAAAGTTTCCAGCTATTTCAAGGCCTCTGAAGAAAACGGGAAGGTGTATACGTATAGGTCAGAGGGGGAAGGGCGGTCGAAGGGACCTCCTCTATAATTTTTCTGCAGGAGCTTTTAGGCCAATCGCAATATTTCTGCAGCTTCTGCGGGACATGCTATGCTTTGACTGAGGCAGAAACCCTGGCTCAGTCGATAAGTTCTGATACCAGCCTACAACTTAAAGCACGCGACCACTCTAGGTATGCCCTAGTGTCAACTGGCGTCTTTTGAATCCAGTCGATTAGTTGGCGGGCCTGTGAGAATTCAGACGAACGAGTGCTCGTATCGCATTGGTCGAAGACTCCCGCATTCTTCCGCTAGCAGCAGTCGGCAGCAGTTTCAGCTATTCCCGATTTAAGGCGGTTAGCTGCCTTAAATCGGGAATAGCTGCCTCGGGAATAGCTGCCCTTGCCTCCGTCGCCCTCGTTCCACCTGCGACAGATCAGCCAATCACGGAAATGAGTCGGCCAATCGCAAAGCTCGAGGCGGGGTCTCAGCATATGCTGTCATTTCATAGTATGAACTTCGGCCGTGGCACTTGCTGTTGTGGTGCTTGAATTCTATCTGAGCACTCATCAGATTATCTAGGCCTTGCACAAACACAACTACGTCGCTGGCCCTGAACTTCTGTCCGATTGAGATGGGAATACTCCGCTTTTTCAGAATTGTATCATGAAAATATCAACCTCTGTAAAAATATGTACATACCTTCAAGTTGCATAGTTAGATGACGTCATTATTCCGGAATTTCAACTTTTTTCATGCAGAGTTCGTCTCATTGTCAATCGTTTTTCACGAACATTTGGTGGTGGCACTCATGGAGGAGGAGGCTTCTGTTCCTTTTCCAAGTATTCTCAGGAGTGGTTCCTCTGGTCGGTCTAGTGGGGAACGCTCTTATTGTCTATGTCACTATACGATCGAAGTAAGCTCATGCACTCGAAGGCACACCCCACAATTAAATGGAGTCATTCTTGCACGCGAAAATAAACAGCGGTGCGAAGTGAACTTGTAGTGAAGAAAAAATGAAAAAGATTCTCGATTTTCCGGATCGCGTTGAGAAAGTTTCACAAGAATGCTTAGCTATGAACGAAATCCTGAGTCAAGGTGGAATCCGAACTCGTATCTCCTGCTTACCAAGCGCTAATAGGTTATGGTAAATGTACCGTCGGTAGCTAAGCTAGAACGAAATGCTGATTCGGCGATGAAAGTGGTAGTACAATCAGGAAAAGGGCTCGAATCTAGCCTGAGGATAAGGTTTTACCTATTACTCTGCATTCTTGTAAGCTCTTAACACATTTTTGTAATTTGGATTGCTAGAGCAATAAAACACTAACCAAGAAGGCCT